TACTCCAGGCCTCATCCAATCGATGCCAGGAGCGTTGAAATCACCCAGGAGTGTTCACTAGTACGTTTAAATTATTTTTATTTCGTGCGGAGGCTATCGGGGAAAATGGAAAACTGCAAAGTTATTCCGAAGAAAATATCCGAAAGACAGTCATAGAATGGTTTCGCGGAACGCGGGACCGCTACGGCGGCCCATGAACAGGGCGGGACACTGCCCATAAGGTAAGAAAATTTGATTGATTTCACTTATAAAAACTACTTAGTTCTCCCATGAAGAAGCTGAGCCCGATGGCTGTCCTGTAGTGCTCCAATCAGAGGACACGATAATTGTCATCGTGTGCGCGGTGCTTAATGCTTAACGGTTTTTTGACTTCAACTAATGTTTTTGCACATGCAGATAGTCTGACAATTATGTAATGAGTTTACGCACTGCCTGACTATGACTCCTTATGAGTTGCATTGTTATCTTTACATCCCAATTTCTTCAATGCTCTTATTTGATCCTGGGAACCAGCTATAGGCCCAGGACCATCGTCATCGCCATTCTGACTTCCACTATCTACTTATGCCTCTCAACGTAGACCCAAAAGAGACTTACTGATTTTATTCACGTTGTATTTTTCTTTTCAGGTTGCATTTTTTATTCACCTTGTAGCTTTTTATTCATCTTGTACTTTTTACTTTTAGTAAGACATTCATATATATCAAACGTTTTTTGCAAACTACTGCATGGGGGATTGTTTAATGCATGGAGGTACGTGAGCGTCTTAGTTCGTACAACTTTTTAACACCCAATGGGCGGTTGTTTTATGTCGCCATCACGGGCGTAGAAATGTGCTGTGTGGGGTTACCATGAGCAATATTCAAGAGTGGCGCGTTTCTTCAGGGGGAAATAGGTATTGCAAAGGGGGTTTATAAATTCGGAAGGTGGGCGTCACGCTGCGCAAATTTTTTCATGCGACGAGCATATACGGGTTGAAAACCCCGACTTCACTCCCATCGGATCACCGTCGTCACCCCCGCATCATCCCCTATCTTCTCAGAATTTCAACGGGGGATACGGGGATTGTGCTGCCAGGATTATTCCTTTTCCAGTTTGTACCGTCGTATTGATGCTGGTTAACTGTAAAAAACGTTTCGTTCGTGTCTAGGTTCCAAAAGTGTGTTTACTTTCGCCATTCGTTGAAATTTTCGGGGAAACTTAGACTCAATCGGTGTTCCTATTTCATTTGTCCACACGCTCCACTCTTCAGAATTTCAGTGTTTATCCAACCACGGCCAGCTTAAGCGGTTTCTTAATGTAAGAAATATAGTTGACAAGCTCACAAGCAACTGTTTGGTGTAGTCATGCATCATTTTTTCACACGTATCTCCCGAGACATTAGTGTCGTATTTTAGTATCCGCGTTCGCAACTTCTTCTAGAATTCGTATATCAGGCGAGTTTGATCAGAAAATACAACAGCATTTTTACATTTGGCACAAAATTTCGTTAGTAGTGATGAGCACCTCGTAAAGTGGAAGAATATTTTCTCTGGATTTCAGGCAGACCGGCTACTTTAAATGCTTCGACTTCTTGTGCGCGCACGTTGTGTTCATTCGGGAGCCACTTTTAGTTCCCGTTTGTTGTCTTCGAGGTATAGGTGGTCTTCTACCATGGCACACTCAAGTTCTAAAAATTTCAAGAGACTGCCATACAACATAAAACCCGTGAACTATAACCTCTCCTTTGTGCCGAATCTTTCTGACTTTACATTTGATGGAGAGGCGTCAATCGAGTTGCAGGTCAGAAACCTGTTGGGGGACAGTTTTATTCTAATTTGGACTTATTCAGGGCCATTAACATTCGTCAAAAACAGACTAAGGGAATTATTTTTTTAAATATCAGCATGCAGTTGGACCAAATAACAACACCATTCAATTTGAAACTCAAGATACGCCACCGTATTTATGGCGGCGTCTTAGACGCTCTGCTATAGACAGGTTACATGGTTTAGTCTATTTGTTCTGTTTAATTTTTTTAAGTACTAGACAAAAAGTTGTTTACCACTTATGCAGAATTCTTATTGAGTAAAGTAATTCTTATCTATTGAATGATGTGTTGATGGGAAAATTTCGTTTCTGCCTGCAGGTTGTGGAACGGACCAATGCGGTAATATTGAACTCCAAGAACATTGTTGTTTCAGATGCACATTTCAACAATGGTAATGTTTGTTAAATCTCATTTTCTGTTCCCAAGCCAACGCCGACATTTCCTATGATGAGTCACAGGAGCTTGTCATCTTCACTTTCCCTAGTGCCCTGGAGGTACGATGATCAAGTCTTAATATCATATACTTTAGACTGGCAACGGCCAGCTTAACTTAAAATTTCGAGGCCATTTAAGTGATGATATGCAAGGCTTTTACAGGAGCACGTACAAGTCGCCGACCGGAGAAGACGGCTATATTCTGTGTACTCATTTTGAGGTAAGGTTATATTCCAGACTACTTTTCCTTCAAAATAGTGCCGTCGAGTTCAAAGTTAATTTATAATAATCATTAGTGCCAGTTTACTTTTCCTATGCATATTTACTCGGATATTTATCCATTCTCCAGTTCACAATTACGTGTTCGTGTGAAACGTCCCGTTTTTATATTTACTTCGACTTTAACTTTGTGATCGCGCTTGGTTATATTTCACCACTACAGACTTCAAAAAGCAAATAAATAGCCCTTTTAAATTCGCAGTCTTTGCGCTAACTGCCTGTTGCGAGGCACATTATTGTAACTTGGACTAACCAGTTTCTTTTTTATAGCCTATTCATGCTCGCCGGGCGTTTCCGTGTATGGACGAACCAGATCGAAGGGCCACTTTTGATATCAGCCTTGTTGCAATGGACAACGAAGTTGCTTTGTCAAATATGGTATCTGAATTTTATTCGATATTTTAAAGCCTTGTTTTGATCACTCTTCAGGTTTATAAATTATTTGCACGGACATTTTT